TCCCGAGGACATGACGATGAGCAGACCAGCGTACAAGATCGACACGGCCCATCCAGGTAAACTTTCATCCATAGGTTCTTTGACGTTTCGGCATCTTATCAAGTGGAGTCACAAGGTAAAACATCAATATTAATCTAGCACAAAAATTTGATATGGAATATGCTTCATTCTAAACCTATTTCATAGAACTTTGTATTTGTAAATATCAAAGAACTTATTTATCTAACAGGAAATTACGCTTTGTATCATTAAAGGGTCGGATCTGGCAGGAGAGACAGCGGCCGCCCTGGCTGCAGCTTCTCTCGTGTTTAAGAAAACGGATCCCACATACGCCAACACCCTTCTTACCCACGCCAAACAGCTTTTCGATTTCGCCAACAATTATCGCGGCAAATACAGTGACTCCATCACCGATGCACAGAGTTTCTACTCGTAAGTATTATTCAACTATTAATTTTATCGCAAAGATAAATTTATTGTAAGCATTAATAACTCTCAAAGTAACTGTATCTAACCTCAATGTTTGCATGTCAGTCCTATAATGGAATTACTTCGTAACTGCCATATAATATATATTACGAATTAAGACTTTGCACAATTTATATATAATTTATACAATCTGAGTATTGACATATAAATAACACAGCGATGAATATGTGCTGTTATATTTCATTTGATAATACTACTTGATTATGAAAAATGTTTTTGTTTTTATAACTGTAATATTGCTCCTTTAAACAAAATGTATTACAAGTGAATTTTTTTTAAAATTTGTATGGTTTCGAATATACATAAATGTTTCAAAGTAACAAAGGATAAAATATCAAGACTAGAAAGGTGCATTCTTACCAGAATACAGGCGTTCTCTGCATGTTCTACATTATCACTAAATGTCTTTTGATGCAGCCGCCATATTATTTTACATTATTCAACTGAGTATTTTCCAAGGTCTTGTATTATCCGAAAATCTAAAACCAATGGCTCTACTGAAAGTGGCGCTAGTGTCGATTCTACCTCACAAGTTTGTTAATCTGCCATGTTGGTATTACCAATTGTACAAAATTGAAACGTACGATTTTAGGGTAGTCATAAATGGTAAAACGTCAACACCAAATTTTATTCAAATCCGTCTACCGATTTAAGAGTTGAATCATTCGGGCAGAGAGACAAACACGCATTCGCCTGTTAACAGTAGGTGGCTTTCCATAATTAGGTGTACCGCGGGAAAAAAAGTAAGTAATTTACTAGCCAAAACGAACATACTCGCTAACACTGAGACAATCCAGAATGAAATTCGATTCTTCAAATCCGCAACAGATCCGGCGACTACAAGGACGAACTGGTGTGGGCGGCAGCATGGCTGTACAGGGCAACCAACGACAACACCTATCTGACCACCGCTGAACAACTGTACAATGACTTCGGGATCGGATACTGGAATGTTCCTTTCACCTGGGACGCAAAATCGTCTGGAGCAGTGGTGAGATATCTTTTGTGCCTTACGGTCACGGTCTGACACTAATATTCCTAGTAGGGGTATCATCAGCCGACTCTGTCTTTGTGCTCCAATGCGTAACCAAGACTACAATTGTCTAGAACGGAAGGAAATTTGCGACGTTTTTATGTTTGTTCAAATACAAACACGAAACATACATCTTCGTCATCTCGAAAGCAAATTACGTGCTGTAATTCAATGACTTTCTACACGGCAGACATAATTGTAGTGAATATTGTGAGATTTTACGTTTTCACGGAGGCGAGTTTGAAGATGGCTGTCTTCTGGGGTGTTCCACCTTGTAGTCTGGCAGAAGGTTATTGACGTTTCAGAGGTCCATGCTGCCTCCATCATCAGAGCGATGATTGTTCTGTTGATGGAGAGAGGAAGCACCTCAAAAACGTCGGTATAATTCTACCAGACTATACGGCGCAACAACCCAGAAGACAGCCATCTTCGTTGTAAATATTATTTTGACTTTTAAGGATCATTTAAAAGACTTAACGAAAATATCTTTTGAAATTTTAGGCACTCATGGTGTTAGCGTTCAATACAATTTACTTCTGATAAACAAATGCTATAATTTGTGAACTTTATTAATTTAACTTCAACTTAGGGCCACTTTACTCATGTACCAAAACGAATTGTTGCCAATACCTTTAGATCGTTTGATGGAATTTTATGGGACTTGATATGCCACACTTTATTTATTATCACGTGTAATTTCAGTGCATTTTAAGGCCTGTTTTAAGGGTGAATTTTGTAGCTCCTTCTTGTATTTTCTGCAAATCCCCAATTAAAATATACTACAATAATTTATTCTCGTGGAATTAAAATTTGTATTTTCAATGTTTGAATGAGTTTTCGTTTACAGAGTCTCAATATCATTATTTCAGTACTATGAAGCATCTTGTAATACGCTGTTTAATTTCGCAGTTTTATCAATGTTCCTATCTGTTTGAAGAATTCTGGCATAACTTTAGGACTAAAATAGCGAAAAAAACATTTTCTTATTGCTTATGTTTTGTTTAAAATGCTTGGTACCGAACCGGAACAGGGACTTTTCCACCAGTAACTGTGATATCGAATGTTGGCAGGCTCTACTGGCTCAGATCACCGGCAAACAGACTTACAAAGATTCACTGAAGTCAATCTGCGACTCGCTCCTTTCTAGACAGAAGACACCAAAGGGTCTCACTTTCATCGATCAGTGGGGATCTCTGCGGATGGTTTCCAATGCCGCCTTCATCTGTGTCCAGGTAATCAATCACTGATACACTGAATGTTTATTCATTACATAAAGTTTTTCACATGGTACGACTGAGGTACAAAAAATAATCCAAAACGTTCACATACGTATATTTTAAAATTAATTAAATGCTCACGGAAGGAAAACAAAATATGTTCAGATGTTCAGTACAGTATCAGGAGGGTTTATAAATTTTTTGTACGTACATACTATAATTTAAGGCTATATAAAATTACTAAAGCATGCACATAATGACATTTGAAAATCTCCTGGAAAGTAAATGAAATTAAGTCTTTTCGCGGAATTAGCCATGTTCAGATGGAATGACAATCCATTGTTTCGGAGACTGTCTTTGTCTCCATCATCGGAATAATAGGACGAGACTCATTCTGGACTTGAAGTTCTAAAACACAAGGATTGTGTAATGATGACGACGATAATAATAATAATGTTTTGCTATGTCTGGCCTAAGAAAAAATGGCGCCCTTGGAGACAACTATTATGTTTAGGATTTGAGGTTTTCACGGCGGTGAGTCTGAAGATGACTGTCTTCCGGGTTGCTGCACCGTTTAGTCTGGTAGAAGTTAACCGATGTTTCAGAGGTCCTTGCTGCCTCCATCATCGCCCTGATGAAACGTCAGTAAACTTCTACCAGACAACGCGGTGCAACAACTCAGAAGACAGTCATCTTCAACAATTCTGTTGGATCCGGTAGATCGAATTATGCCCGACTTTTTAAAAATCAGGCGACGTACAAAGTACAAAACAAAGAAGGTGGTAATATAGGCTAATGCTGGCTCAAGGGAAAATGCACAATAAATATGAATACAAATGTTTACAGGGAGCGGATCTGGGCATCAATGCCGATGCTTATCGCCAATATGCCAAGCAGCAGATCGGTTATATCCTGGGAGATACTGGACGCAGCTTCGTTGTAGGGTACGGCACCAATCCACCCACTCACCCACATCACAGATCCAGGTATGTGTCACGTGTCATTTCTAATTTAATTACACGCTAAATGCGTTACTAATTAATAAATTATCTAAGCACATTTTCTACTATTAATAAACCAGCTATGGCGCATTATATTTGCCAATTAATTTAAATTTAATAAAATGAGTTTCATGAGTGGTGAAACCTCAGATTTCATTATAGCGTTGAAGAAAGCCTGCAAATAAATTATGTCCTCAGCCCGTTGCACCTTATTTATCCTTGGTACATTTTAATAATATCATCTCATTTACTTTTAATAACCTTATTATTCTGTTACTGAGAAATTGTTACAAACATTACGTATTTTTTCACATTTCCAATGCGTCTCTCATGCCCCATCTGTCTCGCCCTTCGTATTTCTCCTCCTTGTTAAAAATAAAAATTAATATTTACGAATTGGCTCATTGTTTATTATTCTCCTTTAGTTCTTTACTTCAACTCCCTCTGGCCTATACTATAAATACTGAAGATAAAGTTTTATACCATAACAAACATCTAACATTTAGCCTTGCACGTGGCTAAGTTCTTGGCTTCTACAGAGAACATTTGAAAATAAAGATTCCGAATTGAATAGCAACAAGAATTTCCCGAAACTAATCTATATTTACATTATACGTATAACTTAAATTCGTAATTTATATTATTAAATTTTTTTGTAAAGAATTCAAACCTAGCCAAACATATTTATGGCTTGTAATTACAAGCCTCTAACACAAATTTCCCGTTGAATTTTACATATTTTCATAAAAACAGACGTCGTTTTCACAGACGAGTAGCTGATAAGTTCCACTTAGTACTAGCTCCGCAGAATCATCTTTTACTCTAGATAAAATGGCCAAGCTGAAATCGAACGAAGAAGTACATCGTTGTTCATTATATGTTGCAATCAGAAGACATTGAAATGCAGTGACAAGACAGAGACAAATACTCAAACATTTAGGTCGGGAAAATAAAAATTACACGACAGAGAGTTATGTCGAAACGTGAATGTGGAGTCGGATACAATGTGCTTTATTCTCATCCTAGCTCTTGCCCCGACGCCCCAGCGGTGTGTGACTGGAACACATACAACAGCGCCAGCCCCAACTTCCACGTCCTGACCGGAGCCTTGGTGGGCGGTCCTGATAGCAACGACAACTACAAGGACGAACGCAGTAATTACGTCTCCAACGAGGTCGCCACAGACTACAACGCCGCGTTCCAGGGTCTTCTGGCTTACTTGTTAAAAAATAACCTGTAATGTTAAGCGTCAGACCGTTTGTTGCTATCCGATGGATGTTTTCACCAAATGAAATCAGCACTGTAATATCAAGACAGAATATGCAATAAAAAATATTTCTATATAGTTATACGTGTTGTGTTTTCATTTTCTTTTCAGAGTTATACAAGGGATGGTAGAATTTGGTCTTAATTAAGTTACAGGCTCCAAGCATTCTACATCAAACCAATATTAATTTTCCTTACAATTTTCTCCAAGTTGTCTCATTTTAACTGCTGCTCTCTTAACCATAAAATACATTATGTTTACTACAGGGTGGGTGGGATGTAAGTAGGCATTAAATAATCGCTATAGGTTTTGTAATATTAATGCAATTATTATGAAAATAATGTGTACATATACGTCACGAAATAGGATATCATAATTCGCGCGTCGGTGGTGTGTGCAGTGGCCGAGAGAGGCAATGGCAACAAAGATGGCCGGCCGCATGACTGTTCAGGAGCGAGCAGAGATGGTGGCGTACAGTGAAGGGAAGAAATGCCACAATCCGTCCGGAGACAATTAAGAACTGTCATTCGAAGCTTATGACCACAGGTTCGGTTACGGACGCACGGAGAAGTGGCCGTCCATCATCCCGATCTGAGAAGAACGTGGCGTTGGTGCGGGAAATGTTCACCCGCAGCCCGCATAAATCAACACGTCAGGCTGCTCGCGAAAGCGGACTCTCGAGGCACACGATACGTACGATGTTAGAGAAAGACTTGAATTTTCGCCCGTGGAAACCCCATTACGTGCAGGACGTTGGCTGGGACGACGAGGACCTCACGAATGGCCTGCAAGAAGTCCAGATCTCACGCCCTGTGACTTTTTCCTGTGGGACTGGGCAAAAGAGGAGGTGTACCGGACAAAAATATTTTATTTACTAGACGATGGATAATATCCAAGAAAATATTTATTCAAATGATTATTAATAATCCCAGTTTCTATTCTAAAATCCACCAAGATCCTTAATGTACCTACAAACATCAATATATAATCGATGACACTTTTGCCAGATTGATTAACAGAAGTATTTGGCTTTTGTATCTATTCCATAATTTCCATTTAATATTTCAGGTATATTTCTTTCGTAAAATTCGGTCAGCAACTTTCCTTTTAAAATATTCTTTCTAATTCTACATCCAAAACAACTAACATAGCCCTAACTACTTATTAACTAACACACAATCCCATTTGTATTTGTTGAAATTTCTGTAAACATTTTATCGATCCCTTTTATACTATTGAACTACCTATCCCCTATCAAAAATCGAGTTTTTTGCACTTCCTTTGGAAAAACTTTTGCACGGTCCTTGCTCTTGGGTTTTCGCGGCTGAAGTGCAATGAAAGCTTTGTTAACGGGTTTCGTTATCTTGGTGTCTTTGGACTAAGGGCTATTGCTAATGGTGGAAGGAGGCTCCCATTACGCAACATTCCCTCTGCGAAAATAACTTTTGTTTTATGGATGCTCGGGGGACTGAACCCAAATAGGTTCGGATCGCATTAGCTGAAAGCTTTTGCAAATGGCAGGAGAGAAATCTCTTTAGTTGGAGGCCACCATGAATAGAGAAGCGGACCGTGCCCCTTTTACACTAAACCCTGGATTTTACCTTATCCTGAGGGAAATCAAGAAAAACCTGTCAGGGTACTTAAATAATATTCGATACTAATGGTTTTGTCGACTTCACAGCCCTGTTTTGGGCAGCGTCGACTGAACTGCTGAGGAGCAGACATCTTCAGGTAACCGAGGGTAATTTCATACTGCCTTTGGTAGGCGCAGGTTCCTTCCAAGTTTCCGAAGTAAGGGGTTCTCCACAAACGTAGATAAATTTGAGTCGAACTCTTAGTTCTGTCGTAAGGTCGGAGAAAAATAGAATCCGCACATCCTCGTGAATTTGCCCGTTTCTAACGTAACAAGCTTGTTAGTTGTATCGGGAAGAAACTTGGTTTGCAATACTTGCAGCTTCCAGATATCGCTGCGTCCAACGGACTTCCATACGGGCATGCATAATTGCTTTTTGAACTGATAATCTGCTTCTAAAGGAAAACACCGTTTATGAGATCCAAAGCCACTTCTTCTAGTACCAACATTTTTTGAAATTGGATTCCGTACATCTTCGTATACAGTTAGCCTAATTTAAATGTGTTCGGAATTAAGATATATAACTCTGAAGTCCGTGCATATTAAACGTCTTTTACCTATTCTACATGGTTCGTAACAAGATGCTTTATTACCATTCTTCGTCAAGTTTGTTTGAAAATATGCTGTCAAAGCAAGGTAACGAGAAGGAAATTAAACTGATCGGGTCAGATAAACTTCTTGTATATGTTGGTGATGATAATTTTTTGAGCAGAAACATAAATAGTATAAGGAATAACACAGAAACTCTATTGGGCGCTGATGAGGAGGCTGGTATGAAAGTAAACACATAAAGAAAATGTTTTGATATCTCGTCAGCAGAATATAAATATAAAAAATTACAAACATAAATAATAAGTCATTCGAAAATGTGAAAAGGAACATGTAGAAATATCAGCCAAAAAATTACTTACGTGCTGATTTTGAAAGATAGACCAGAATAGATAAGAGTTTTTTAAAAAATTAACAATTGAAAGGATAATGAAGCAGTGATAAAAGCTTCTTGACTTTTCTGCATTGTTGTCACCTTCAATTATCTTGTACTGTGTTTATTTTCGTCGTGTTCGTTGTAACTTTATTTCTGATCTTGTCGAAAAAGTCACAAATATATAAACAAAAACAACCAATTTCAGCACATGACGTCCAGACTTCTAATGATTCACTGGCCACCATTTGATCGATAACTGAAATAATGTTCAGTTTAGTGGCAAATAATAAAAACATCTCGTAATAATCAAAGCTATAGACGAATTATATGGCCTGCATTAGTTCATTGTCTGATACCGAAGACATAGTTAAATAACTTATTTTATATAAGATTTGAGGTTTTCACAGCGGTGAGTATGAAGATTTCTGTCTTCTGGGTTGTTGCACTGTGTGGTATGGTCGATGTTTACCAACGTTTCAGAGGTCATACTGCCTCCGTCATCGGGACGATGAATATTCAGAACACACAGCGCAACAACCCAGAAGACAGAAATCTTCAACCTGTTTTATATATAAAACTGATGTTTTATGGCTTTTCCAATTGTAGATCGGTCAATTTAAACGCGAGAAACTTCGACAACACTCAAGTATACATATATGTATCTAGCCGGAATAAAATCTGTAACAATTTAAGTACACTATGCCAAAACCGTGAGCATGGAACGTGGTCATCAGATAAATCAGAACTCAAAAATACATAACGACAAAGCAAACAAAATACAGTAATTGGTTCCATGTACGCTTATGTATGGTTCCACCAACCACTGTGCCACTTGAACAATCTCAACTATGTTGACGATCATTATGAGTTATATCTTTGTTTGTACCAAGTTATTTATTGGTATGTTTTGTAATATTCCATGCGTACTGACGCCAGAATCGTTTTGAACGTTGTTATGTACGTGATATTTTTAGTAGATAAACATCAATAGTTGTACTGCACAGTCTTTACTTGTGTTTCAAATCCAAATACTACTTTCGTCGTAAGCTGTCCATACGTCTGCCCGTCCAAATGTGGCAGGGGCAAAAAAATACGTGGCTAATTTCCATCAAATTTGGTATGGTACATGTGAAACGGATTTTATGCACCGATCATTTCAATGGCAAGGTTTCTGTATTTGAATAGAATTTTTCATGCACAATCAAGAATACGATTCACAAGGCCTCCGATATTCCGAGGGCGGTTAACCGGCGTATATCTGGATTGAACGAAAAATAATTCAGAAAATCTATTGTAAAAGTTAGAACGTTTAATAAGAAAGGAATAAATACAACAATTTTACATTATTTAACGCATTAACATGAGTTAACTGTTGTTAAAATCTGTAGTGTGAGACAATATAACATTATTACTATTAGTTGGAATCCTTTTAAAAATAGTTTGTGTGTACCTCATTAAATTTTATATAAAATCCTTTCTGTTAATAGTAAATCTTTAAAAACTTAAGTAGGGTATGTCTGTAAATAAACTTATGTATTTCTTGCATTTGTGTTTCACTTTTATTTTTGCGGATTATCCAGGGCTTCAATTATACGAAGAAATATATATCCCAAGCAACCCGGATCATCTGGATACTGAATTGTTTATTTGGCGTTTTGGGGTTTGTGTCCAACGTATACACGATACTGCGTGTACGCCGAGACGAATGAAATCCGTGATTGAAGATCAAAGATCATGGAAACAGCATTAAATATTCCAGGTTTTTAAGCCAGACCGTTAAAAGCTAATGCAGTAATTCACATTTTTGGTAAGTCAGCTATATCGTTTACGAAACAAAAATAATTATAAATTGTGTAATTCTTGGGTATAAAATCCTTTGTCTATGGTCAGATTGGAAAGCCGAATATATAAATCAGAATGACAAAAAAAGTCTGCTTCGCTCGAACTTTTAGCCTCACCAATGCAGCAAAAATAATACTGTAATAATGTGAATAATGTCGGCATCTATTTCACGTTTCTCCTACTATAAATTCCACACAAAAGCACTGAAATACATATAATTCGCCAAGAGCACAATTTCGGTATGAAAGTTCATTTGTGTTAAAAAAATCATAAATATTAAAGTATATGTTTTAAAATCGGGACTCAAAGTTGTAAATGTGATCATATTAATGCCAATCACCTGCCATATCGAATGGTCTAAGACGGAACACAGAAAATAAACGAAAGTGGAACATTGACCCCCTATTCGCCATTGGATAACACCGAAAAGTTATTAAAATTAACAGATATTTTTCTTTAAATCATGCAGACATAATCCTGATCCTGTTCAATAGACATAGCGCATAAATTAGCGTAATAAATTGAAGGTATACAAAACCCACGTACCGACAAATACGACATTTTGCAGGGATGTTTGCTAACAAAGGGAAGAGGATTCAATTCAAGAAATTATTTGTCCTAAATAATTCCAAGAATACATTTCTGAAACGAAATTGTCTTCGTGCAAACTGATTATTCCACAGTATCTCACTTCGTCAGAAAAAACAAGACGACGAGGTGCCATAAATTTCATACGTCGGCATGTTGCAGTTTCACACAAATAAAGCTCAGGTGTTCAGTGCTACAACTGAACTCGGAAAATAAGGTGACATTGAAGCGACTGTTATTTTTATTACGTGTGCTTCGGGTATAAATACGAACCCGAGGACCTATCCAAACCACTTCTCGGCGAGCAACCACCGCAACCGATAATGAGGGTCTTCGTCTATCTTCTGTCAGCGCTTGCGCTCTGCCAAGGTAACGTACTGAACAGCGTTATTAGCGACCATGACCACCCCGAACGTATCAGAAAATTAAGAAGACTTTAAAAGAGTCTCACGTTCAGTGAGACGCCATTCAACTTGCAGGACTAGAAGTCTCCTTTAATAACGATAATCATCATTGTGTTACAGCTTACGACTACAAGGAAGTGCTCCGCGATTCGATACTCTTCTACGAAGCTCAGAGATCGGGAAAACTGCCCTCTGATCAGAGGGTCACGTGGAGGAAGGACTCAGCTCTGAACGACAAGGGCCAGAAAGGCGAGGACCTCACAGGCGGTTACTATGACGGTACGTATCCTCAAGTGACGTAGCCTATAAAGTACGAATGTCAAATGCCCACGAAAAGGTACGTGAGGCTTGTAAGTACACACCGTGGAACAATCGTAAAGCGCACGATAAACCCAAACACAAAAACGCAACAGCTCCCGTCATACATACGATGGGTTTGAATTGTACCGAAATGGGTCCACATAATTTGATAACTTCTTTGTTTCCACAGCTGGTGACTATGTCAAGTTCGGTTTCCCTATGGCGTACACAATTACCACCATAGCTTGGGGGATTGTGGATCAAGAAGCAGGGTACAACTCAGCAAGTAGGTACCTAAATCTTATGGCGAGAGAACTTTAATTGTACTCGCTAGCCGAAGGCTTTTGTCATCATCCTCATACGAAAATCAATGTTTCCGAACACACGTTATCCGATCGTTGATTGTCACAGGCGCTCTGGCTGATGCTCGCAAATTGATTAAATGGGGCACGGACTACTTCATCAAGGCGCACGTGAGCCAGAACGAATTGTACGGACAAGTAGGACAAGGAGATGTGGACCACGCATACTGGGGGCGTCCCGAGGACATGACGATGAGCAGACCCGCGTACCAACAGATCCGGCGACTACAAGGACGAGCTGGTGTGGGCTGCAGTGTGGCTGTACAGGGCAACCAACGACAACACCTACCTGACCAAAGCGGAACAGTTATACAACGATTTCGGCCTTGGGAACTGGAACGGTGGTTTCACTTGGGATCAGAAGATCTCTGGATTACAGGTCAGAAAACTGTGGAGAATTACGCACAGACGAACATTAATGCAGTGTTTAACTCTTTTACGAAGACGCAATAATTTGCATCTGATAGAATCTGCAATTGATGTCACGTTTTCCAGGCAACGAAATACTCGGCCTGATATCGATTCTCATCTCGAATAAATGAAATAGACAGAAAGGGGTGTGAGGACTAATCACGAGATGCGATATCGCTTTCGTGAAGGCTCTCCTCAACATAAATGTGACGGTATCTTCCACAGGTGTTGCTGGCTAAGATCAAAGGCACACAATCTTACAAGGACAAGGTGCAAGGCTACTGCGACTACATCACGACTTCCCAGCAGAAGACACCAAAGGGTCTCGTATACATCGACCAATGGGGCTCCCTTCGAATGGCTGCCAATGCTGCATTCATTTGTGCTCAGGTAATCAATAATTGTGTGGATGGAATATTCACAAGATGTGATCAGGTCTATACAGACGCCAGAAGTATGGAATTATAAATGACTACTCCTCCTTCTACACTTATTAATGAGCTTCTGTGTTCTGTATTTGTTGCGTGCGAACGTTTCTGCTGGAATAAGTCATCGTCACTATCTCTAATGATGACGATGATTACAAAGACTATGTTCTGCAGAAACTTTCAGACATCGACAAATATAAAACACTGCACCGAGCAACAACCCATAATACATACACCATATACAACATTTAGGAAAGTAAACCCTGAAGAAATTCTTGAGAAAGGAGAAAACATACTGAAACACAATGTATCTGAGAACATGACTTACGGAATGTTTCGTTTCGTGATACACACGTTGTTTAGTATCACAAATACATTAAGAAGGCATATTGTGAATATAAGGAAATGTGTTTCAGGCCGCGGATCTGGGTATCAATGCTGCTAGTTACCGTGCATTTGCCAAGAAGCAGATCGATTACATCCTGGGAGATACTGGACGCAGCTTCGTGATTGGCTATGGCACCAATCCACCCACTCACCCGCATCACAGATCCAGGTTTGTGTCTCTTCTGCTCTTTCCACTTTCTTGCTTGTTAATTACATACCATCTTTACTCTTAGAGTTCTATTAACTCTCCGTCCCCATTCGCTTTTAGTAGCTAATGTTCCTGC